CTGCAGGCAGAAACAAGAATTGGGTTTCCTGTAACACACGAACTGTCAAGTTACTCAGGCTAGCAGACTAAATAAAAGAAACCCTCAATTGAGGACTGTGTATCATCATCATTATATTTATTATTATTATTATTAACTAACTAATTAAGTTTATACATCACCCTTTATCCGAAGATCTCGGGGCAGTTCACAAGATAAAATACAGGATAAAATCAGAAATAGTCAGAGCAAAAAACCCCAAAATAACTCCCCCTCCCACAATCACATTTAAAAGGCCATGGAAAGCTTATCAGCCAAAAGCTTGGTTGAAGAGGAACATTTAACACATATGCAGTGTTAAAAGGCATTAGCCATAAATAATTCTGCACAGTCTGTTTACTTAGAGGTGGAGCTGTATGATTGAAAGCTTTCTTGTTGGGGGGGAAAAGAGATCCCTGCACAAAGCAAAACTAGTGTATCCGGGCAAAGACCAGACCAGTAACTTTTCCCTTGACTCGTCAGCATGAGGGGATTTTAATTGTATGGCACAGGATTCCCATCATGTGAGCCCCTTTAAAGTGAAATGTTCACAGTCCAGGCAGTATTACCACTTCTGTGAAGGTAAAATACTAAGGAAAATGGAGCAGGAAAAATGAGTGTTTTTAAAAGTAAGGCGTTTTGAGCAATACAAATATCCAAACAATAACACGATGGCAAGCCACTCTTGTGCATATCTGGGACTGTTTTGAGCACCACACTTTTAGGGTTGCCATACAGAATTTCCCACATGTTCAGGATTTAACTGGGGAAAAATAGCGTCTGGAGTAAATTATGGCAACCCTACACACTTTCAATGGCATGCACTACATTCAGTGCCAGTTTTATGGTCTGCATCTTGCTCTTCTCCTATTGCACGATTTCCCCCCTGTACTAATTTTGCACTGGTGTAAATATGTGTGGTTGGTGGTGCCACATTTTGGAAAGAGAAACAGTCTGGATGTAGAGAGTGACTGTGCAAACCCACCCAAGTTTGTCTGAAGTCGCTAGAAATTCATCACTACTACAGAGACTGGCCTTAACTTTACTTCTATGCTTGTCTCTCCCTTATTGGATCTAATAAATCTTTGCAAAATCCAGAGGGGTGGAAGGGAAGAAAATGTGAAAAACAGTGGACATGTTCAGGTCAGGGAATTGACTTTAGCTCTTAGCTGGATTGTCATCAAGTTGGGAATATGCCAGAGATTGGCCCTGGAGCTGCAAGCGCCGTTCCTACAGGGAACAGATCTATTTTCACAACAACAAGCCTTGATTAGCTGTTGCTTCATGAGAAGAGGCCTTGAGAGCTAGAGTTTCTTTGAGGGCTGTTTACCCTGCTCCTTTGTGTAATACCCCAAACTGCCAGGGCATTCAGATGAAATGGCACATAACCAGGAAATCCTACAGCCTTTCGGGTTTTTCTTTTTAATACCTCAAGTATGAAACAAATATTTTTGAATGATAGCAGAGTTTGATGGACTCTTTCAAGCAACCCCTATCCCACCAATGTAAGAAATTGCACTTTACAATGGATTTATTATTTAAATGTGTTTGCATACACCTGCATATAATAAACATCAGGATCACACATGTATTAACTATCCCTGGGATATGTAAAGTGGTGTGGCTGTATCTGAGCATGAGGGAAGTGCTTGTCCTCTCTGCAGAAGGATCTCTTGAGTTTGGGGACAGGGCAGATCTCCCAATCCTATGAGCTCTAGAAGAGCTGTTGGTCAGTGGTAGAGAATGTTGGTATACCAGCAGATGATCCCAGGTCCAGTCCCCGGAATCACCAAGCAGGGCTGGGAATTTGCTTGAGTCCCTAGAGAGCTGCTGCCAGGCAGTGTAAGGAATGCTGAGCAAGATGGACCAAGGTAGCTTCTTACAAGACCAAAACACCTGGAGAGAGCCAGTGTGGTGTACTAGTTAAGGATGTTGGATTAGGACCTAGGAAACAGGGTTCAAATCCCCACCTGGGCACAAAACTCACCAGGCATGACTGTAGGTCAGTCACAGCCTCTCAGCCTAACCTACCTCACAGGGAGAAAGAGAACCATGTCCTCCACTTTGGAGTCATTTTGGACTCACAGCTGTCCATGGAGGCGCAGGTCAATTCTGTGTCCAGGGCTGCTGTCTAACAACTCCACCTGGTACGCAGGCTGAGACCCTCCTTGCCCGCGGACTGTCTCGCCAGAGTGGTGCATGCTCTAGTTATCTCCCGCTTGGACTACTGCCATGCACTCTACGTGGGGCTACCTTGAAGGTGACCCGGAAACTACAACTAATCCAGAATGCGGCAGCTAGACTGGTGACTGGGGGCGGCCGCCGAGACCACATAACACCGGTCTTGAAAGATCTACATTGGCTCCCAGTATGTTTCCGAGCACAATTCAAAGTGTTGCTGTTGACCTTGAAAGTCCTAAATGGCTTCGGCCCAGTATACCTGAAGGCGCATCTCCACCCCCATTGTTCTGCCCAGACCCTGAGGTCCAGCTCCAAGGACCTTCTGGCAGTTTCCTCCCTGTGAGAATTGAGGTTACAGGGAACCAGGCAGAGGGCCTTCTCGGTAGTGGCGCCCGCCCTGTGGAACGCCCTCCCATCAGATGTCAAAGCGATAAACAACTACCTGACATTCAGAAGACATCTTAAGACAGCCCTGTTCAGGGAAGTTTTTAATGTGTGACATTTTAGTGTATTTTTGGTCTCTGTGGAAGCCGCCCAGAGAGGTGATGCGACAACCATCTCCAAATATCTGTATACCAGTATACCTAAAGGAGCGTCTCCACCCCCATCATTCTGCCTGGACACTGAGGTCCAGCTCGGAGGGCCTTCTGGCAGTTCCCTCACTGTGACATTTTAGTGTATTTTTGGTCTCTGTGGAAGCCGCCCAGAGTGGCTGGGGAAACCCAGCCAGATGGGCGTGGTACAAATAATAGATGATGATGATTCTATGGAGGAGAAAACATGGAATATAAATGCAACAAATAGGAGTCTGCTCTCAAACCAATCGAAGATTTATCAGTTCCCTCTCTTTCACCCAAAGAATTGTACACCACTTATTTACATACATTTAAATTACGTCTGACTCAGTGTAAGGCAGCTACTTAAATTCCTATTTTTTTTTTTCTAGAGAGATCTAAAGGGGCTGAAGAGCTGCAAAAGCTGCTGTTGCTGCCAAGACTCACCACCAACTGCTCCTCTGCCCTCAAATCCTTCATGGTAGCTGAGCTGGGGGTGTTTGTAGCCATAGCAGAGCCCCTGGCAACCCTCCTCTCTGCAGGGCTGGGCGATCTGGGTGATGAGATACCCATCACATCAACCAAAGAGACTCACTCAGAGCAACTCACAAAGGCAGTCACTCTGCTGGCTTGGCACAGCTTAGGGCTGCCAGGTGAAAAAGCTACCATTTCCCCACGGGTAGCAGGTGGTGACATCAGTGGAGTGGAGGGAGTAGAAACAGAAGGTGCACACAGCTGCCGGAGTGAGAAGCAGCAGCCGGCAGAGATTGTGATTCACAATTGCATTCCATTCTTCCATTTGAATTCAGGGTGATATACACAACCACCCTATGCAAAAAGGTTCAATTAGAAGAATGCAACTTCATGGAACACTATGTTTACATTCAAAATGTGTTCATTTCCCCCCAAATCCACTGGTGACAAATATGCTTAGTCAGAAGTCTTGAGTATATAAAACTGGTGCTCAGAAAGCAAAATGGGAAACTAAGGTTATTACTTCTCCCAAATCACATCACAGGAGTGAATTGGGGCCTTGAGTTCCTGCATGTTTTTGTCAAGTTAGGCAGCTCATTTAGGTGGCAATGCATACCATTAAAAGCTACCAGATTTTGGGTGGGGTGGGGGAGATGACTTTGGGTCACCTCTTAGGTCATTTACAACCTTATTTCTTCCATGGAAATCAATCTTCCATAAAGCTATTCAAAGGCTTATTAACAAACCTGCTTGGTACTGTTGCACTAGCAGATTTTTAATGTCTCTGAGTAATCCCAATTTGTAAGCAAAATGTGCTACCTTCTTTGGAGTGCAGACAAAGGAACGGCATGTTTTAATGTCACCCTGCTCCCTGAAATATATCTTGATGTAGACAAGTGTCTTACTATCCATTTACCTTTCTCGAAATATGTGGATCAGTGCCAAGATTACTGCACTGTCACTAACTTCAAAGCTGTTTGTGCAGCAGAAGAAAGGAAGTCTATAATCATTACCCATTATAATGCCACAATGTGTTTGATATATTGGAGGTCAACCACCTTTTAGTTTCCAATGGAAGATGCTCCTTTATGGTTCAACTGCCTCCAAGAGTTCCTCTTTTCCATTTACTACTACAAGGCACTGTGCTCTGACCTGCTGGGAGCCAGAGAGCCTGTTCCTGCCTCTCTCTACCTGGTCCAGGATTGGGCCTGACAGGCTTCATAAGAACAGCTGTTGCTGCTGCTGGAGTATTTTGGGAGAAGTTTTGTCTGGAGTTTTTTGGTGTTACTGATAATTTTTTGTATCTTTATTTTTATGTGGAAATTGTTCAGTTTGGTTATGTAATTTTTGATGTGTTTTATTTTTTCTTATGACTACTTTACTATGTTTGTAACTATGTAAATCTTTTCATATTGTAAGCCGCCTTGAGCACTGTTTTAACTCTTAGGTACAGCTCTTAGGTACAGCTTTGCCTTAATCTTCAAAGTAGGCAACAAATGGCCCCCTACATTTGTCTAATACTCAAACGGCACTTTTGTTTTTGGGTGTGTTTTTTTATAGACTCAAGCCGTTTGCAAATAAAACCCCCAATGCATCTGATTTTGTTGCTGCAGAGACCATGTACCTTGAGAATATGTATGTGTAACTCACTTATTGGTGGTCGGGCATGGAGGAAGCGTATGAAATCAAATGAATGTAAATTCAATTTGCAGATAGCAAGATGTTACTTGCTACAGGCAAACGTCACACGAATGAGTTTCAAAGTGAGAAAGCTTCATATAACACAGCCCTCTTTATTAAGCATATAGGTTTGCTTTATTTCCAATGTTCAACCTGGGAGAGCTCCTGTCACAATCTGAAAGGAGGAGGGTAGAGCCCACTGTAGTGCTGCTTCCGCAAATTAAAGCACATAGTATGAAGTACAGTTTTTTCGGTGATCTTCCCCAACATGAAACCAACTTCCACCTGTGCGGTTTGGGCACAGGAGCAGTCTTCGGCAAACAGAAGCATCACGAGTTTGTGGCAAGACACTGAAAGTTGTGCCAAGGCTGCAGTTGTAAGAGCCACAGTTCCAAGTTGCTCAGCTGAGAGCAGCACTGCTGGAGTGTCAAGCAGCAAATACTGGTGGTAGATTTTTTTCAAAATTAAACTAAACCCTCCCCAATAAAGGATAAAAATTTAAAAGCAGTGCCTTTCGAGTGACCCCACAGTAGGCAGTGGGGACTAGAAGGCACTACAATGTGTCAGAATGAACGAATCCTGCGCATTCACCGTCCAGAGAGAGAATATGGATTTTTAAAAAGTCCAAAGTTGTGTAGACCTTCTGGAAATGAACAAATCCCTCCTCAGTACGAGATATGGTGGTGCTGCAAAGGAAGGAGAAGGGGGTAACTCTCAGGCTCCAGGATTTCAACAAAGCTTCCCCTCCCTACCACCCCAAGTACACAATGTGGCTGGTTTTACCACGGCTTTCGGACTACTCTGGCTCTGCAACTGTAATAATTTCTTCATTGATAAAAAATTCAACAGTTTCCTCCTCCCAGTCATCCACGTTGCTGTCCAGCTCATCTGTGTCCACTCCTGTAAAGAGAGAAAAAGTATTAGACCTGGATGATTTCAAGGGCAGCAAGAGAAGAACTGTTGCTGGCTCCATAATGAAACAGAATCTTAGCTGTGTTAGAACAGAGCTACAGCTGCCATCTCATTCAAACCAACTAGTTCTGCCACATATCAACTTCTTTGCTTATCATTTATTTTGTTAAGGTAAGCCCAACACTATTTCAGTAACAGTTTTGCCAATATTTTTTCCTAACAGAGACTTGACTTCATGTGGCTGCTGAGTTCACTGCAGCTTACTCTCCGGTAAGCATGCACAGGATTGCAGCCTAAGACAAGGAATGCTTGGAAAGCCAACTCACCTCCGCGGGAGCTCCAACCGCTCATTCTTTTGCTCCATGTACAGCTCTTGTGCCATCTTGCGGTATTTTTTGAACTCCTCCATCATTGTTCGCCTTCTATCTACCAGTTCCTACAGAAAACAAGAGGTTGCTATTAAACCTTCAATCAAAATGCAGCTAGAAACCTTCCCAGGAGTAATCAAGATGGGGAGAGAAGATGGACTTTCCAAGGTTTCGATCCCAAACATGCTTACTTAAAATTATCAAAGAGACTTATTTCCATGTAAATATGGGAAGGACTGGGGTGACAAAATGCTTTCACTAGTGCAAACATACGGCTTCACTTTGCGAAATTCATTACAGCAAGATCTGGGCCATATGATGCCACAAGGAGGAAAAGGCATTTACAGATATTTCCCCACTGAATACTGCTAAAGGTTCCGTATTCTCCAGCAGAAGAATTAAGAGTTCTCATTTACTGACTTCCCTGCTCCAATATTGCAGTGTGCTCCAACCTCCCTGCCCCAGCACTCCCTTATTGTACAACGTTCCTGCCAGAAGCAGCTTTGGAAAATGAATCCAAGGGTTGTAGATCTGGAAATAGGTGTCTGGACTCAAAACCAAAGCACCAAGAGATCAAAGGTAGCTTACCTTTGAGGCTTTAGACTGGCTCAGACGATCTTTCTGTTCAAATATTTTGGAGTATCTCTTCAGATCTTTCTTGATTTGCTGTTTCAGGAAACAAGTGTTACACATTGTATTTTTTAAATGATTTTATGTTACTTTGAGCAAAATCTGCCATTTCATATAGCCCCAGCGTATTTTGAGAAGAAAAAGTGGACTAAGCAGGATGTCAAATACATGCCTTTCGAATACCGTGCACAGGATACTACAGCAATCTATCAGACATGCTTAGTTCTACAGTGGTATTCCACTTAGTTTTACTCAATGGTAGGCTCAATGAAAGTAATGAACATAACTAATATAAGTTTATTCATTTCAATGGGCCTGAGTAAAAGGTAGTTGACTACAACCCAATATTTTACTACTGCAGAGTATGGGGGAGAAACTGGCCTCCTTGGTGATTTGCAAAGCCTTCCAATGAATACCAAGAGAGCATTATGGCCCCAAGTCTTTCTCTGGTTTGGATAATTCAACTCCCCAAACACCTCCTAATCCCCTCCCCAAAGCCACTTACTTGTAAGCTGCTCTGGGAGCAAGTATCCCTTCTAAAGTTTACCCAGACAACAGTAAATGAGAAACACTTTTTTCCAAGACTACTTAATGTTGGTAAACTGGGAAAAGTACACTTCCCAAGAGCTGTAGGCAGCACACCAGGAATCAGAATGGGGCTGGATCAACAAATGTCATGCTCCCAATGTAATCAGCGGAATGAGGTCCAGTTCAGTGGGAAAGGGATAAACTCAGCTGGGCTTCCTGGAGGCAATTGCAAATTGAACCGGGGGAGTGGTTTGTGGACATGGCAAGCTGCTAGGTTAAGCCACTGACCCATGTAGTGCAATACTGACTACTTTGACTGGCAGCAGCTCTCCAGGATCTCAGAGATTTTTTCTCATCACCTACCACCTGAACATTTAACTGGAGATGTCAGGAATTGAACTTGAGATCAGACACACATAAAGTATCTGATCTAACGCTGACCTATGTCTCTTCCTTATCCCCAGCTTGTGGTGAGCTTCAACTGTTGTCTGTTGAAGCATTAGAGCTGTTTTCCTAATACCGAGCTTCCTTCTCTTAATATCAACCGAAAAAGTTACACCAAACCTCCCACTGTAAAGGACACAATACCTTTATTTGATCCTGGGTGAGCAACGTAGGTGGCCTGGGTCTCCAAAGTAACTGGCAGAACCGGTCTTTATTATTCTTCTGTAGGAGGCGACCCTGGAAAGTCCACAGCCAATAGGCATTGTCCACCTAGAAAGATAGTTCAGTGAAGTTGTGTCACACATGGTGGAGCATTCTTCGCACCCAGCTGCTCACTTTGTAGTTCTAAAAAGCTGAAAGCATTCAAATTCCCTTCCGTAGTGTTGTGAAAGGATTTCTAAGGACCATCAACTGATGCCTTAACTTGTATATGGCAAACATTTACTATAAAGATCTGAATTACATATAAACAAGGTACCAACAGAGAAGCCAGGCACCAGAGTAACTAATGTATCTCACTGTTTGAGGAGCACACATTAAGTAGCTGAGTACACATTGGAAGCCCCACAATTATCTCCTCCCCTTTACTCAAGCCTCTTCGTCAGTTAAGAGAGGAACCAAGGCACTGGGCTTACCGAGACGATTGAGTATGACAAGAAGAAATAATGATGGCAATGCTATTAATTGATGAAAATTTATGAGATCAAAGGTATCCAAAGCTAAAAATAAATACAACTTGTTAAAGGCTCAAGACTGGGAGAAGGGTTAAGGGGTGGGGGAAGTATTGAATAATTACCTGTGTGGACTCCACCAAGAAACAGAGTCACCCAAATAGGCGGCCCTGTGGGCGTCCCATTCACAAAATTCTGAGGCCTGTGTAGTGCTCAGCAATGTTCATTCATGGTGCAGTCAGATGTATCAACAAAGCTAAAGGCACCATTCATGCCTGCATTGAGAAAAATAATGTAGAGTATTTTTATATTTACAGGCAGGCAACTTTTGTGAAACAATCGAACAAAACATTTTCTTTTGAAAATCTGGGTATGGAGTCAGATGGCATAATCTAAAAGCCGTGAGACGTTGGATTTGAAAAACAGTTCCTTGCATAAGGTCCTTTGTCTGGGAGAGGGCACAAGTTTGCTTTATATTAAGGTAAACTAGCCTGATGATCACTCTTACTCTGTAGGGTGAAATAAAACTCTACAGAACCATCTCAAATAAAACAGAGCTCTGTGTGGTTTTTGCTCCAGTGGACCAAGATGGCACCCTCTAAGGAACCTGTTTTAAGTCAAGAACCTTTTTTATATACCGTATTTTTCGCTCTATAACACGCAGATTTTTTTCCCTCCTAAAAAGTAAGGGGAAATGTGTGTGTGTCTTATGGAGCGAATGCAGGCTGCGCAGCTATCCAGAAGCCAGAACAGCAAGAGGGATTGCTGCTTTCACTGCGCAGCGATCCCTCTTGCTGTTCTGGCTTCTGAGATTCAGAATATTTTCTTTCTTGTTTTCCTCCTCCAAAAACTAGGTGCGTCTTGTGGTCTGGTGCGTCTTATAGAGCAAAAAATACGGTACATTCTGACACCATTACTACATTTTGCACAACCCCAAAGCATCAACAAGCACAGTGACGCAGCGGTACGTGATTTATATTGCACATTGTGCACATTTTCTAGCCTCATTTAATGACTGTGAATGCTGACTGGGCAAAGTACAAAATTGCTGGTTCATGCTGTCAGCTGGTCCACATTCTCCACACCTGTGGGCACTATTACTGGAGATTATGCAGATTCTCAACTGACCTTGCACTGAACCACGACATGTACACATGGGCAGATGCGCAACGAAGGACAAGAAGGTGACCACATTGTTATTATCTACTCCTAAAGGAAGGCAGTCCTGGAAAAGATTAGGTTTTCCTATTTTCATCCTTATTCCCTTTTCACGCTTGAGGGACGCAACTGTAGATGGATCACTAGTTTAACTGTCCTCAACAGTGCTTTTACTATTGATTCCTCATACATCAACTCTAAAGTGTCTCAAGACAGCCGTCTTTCTCCTGGTATTTCAGGCAAGATCATGAAATGCAAATGTGTGTATAAATGTACTTAACTTTAATTAACATTTTTACTAACATGTAAATGATGGGCCTTTTCACTTGACACTACATTTGCAGCATTGTACCATGTGCACAACACTGTCAAATGAAGTGTGGCATACTGAAGAAGAAGAAGAAGAAAGAGTTTGGATTTGATATCCCGCCTTTCACTCCCTTTAAGGAGTCTCAAAGTGGCTAACATTCTCCTTTCCCTTCCTCCCCCACAACAAACACTCTGTGAGGTGAGTGGGGCTGAGAGACTTCAAGGAAGCGTGACTGGGCCCAAGGTCACCCAGCAGCTGCAAGTGGAGGAGCGGAGACGGCGAACCCGGTTCCCCAGAATTAGCAGACTACCGCTCTTAACCACTACCACCACACTGGCTCTTCCAAGGTGTGCTGGAATTAAGTCATTAAGTGACTTGCATCTCAGGTAAGATAAATGGTGAACCAGGCTAAAATCACCTTTCATATTCTTAAGGACCCACATCTAATAGGGAGACCCAGGGCAGAAATGGAGTGGAAGAAGATCTCCAAACATCGTATTGTTTCATCTCTCTATTGGTTTTTAACCTGTGTAGCCCTTCCATTCCAAAGGAAGAGTGGAACATATATGAATTCTTATCTGCTGCTTTGAAAGAGGATTTCTTAAAGCCCAAAGTAAAGCCAACTCACTGATATTCTATTTGGTCTTTTTCTCGGATGGTTATCAGGGACAATTTCACATGTGCAGAAGAGCCAGTGTGGTGTAGTGGTTAAGAGCAGTGGACTCGTAATCTGGTGAACAGGGTTTGATTCCCCACTCCTCCACATGCAAGCTGCTGGGTGACCTTGGGCCAGTCACACTTCTCTGAAGTCTCTCAGCCTCGCTCACCTCACAGAGTATTTGTTGTGGGGGATGAAGGGAAAGGAGATTGTTAGCTACTTTGAGACTCCTTAGGGTAGTGGATAAAGTGGGGTATCAAATCCAAACTCCTCTTCTTCATTGGTCTGTCCTGTCCTACTTACATGTGGCTATTTTACAGAAAACCCTAAAATATTTGTACAGTTTTGATTTGTTTAAAATTGCAGTACTTATGTACCTCATAATGCCAACCAGTGGTGACTTTTATGAGGGAGCAACTGGGCAACCAATTTAACACTATAGAGTTCCGGTATAAAAGAATTGACCACAATGAATGTATTATGATACATTTATCCATACTTTTATTTGCCTGATTTGCTTTCATATCTTCAAGGGCCCCAAAATTCTCTCTTGTCCAGGGTTGCCAAGATCCAAACCAACATATGGTTTGGTATAACACAACGAGCTTTGGACTTGCACATTTTCCCCTACTGCCCCCTTCTCACTTGGTTTCCTTGGACTTCTTCTTTCAGCAGAGGGAATCAGAGTATGGGAGAGGAGGAAGGGGATTTTTGGCTTGTAATGCCAAATGAATGCATTGCAATGCTTTCGTATTACATCTGAATCAAGCAGTGAATTCCAATAGAACAAATCCCATAGAGCAGAAACACACACAAATCAACATTCAGAACATGTGAAATATAGGCATAACTTATCCTCCAATGGACCAGCAGACTCAAACACTAAAGGAGTCTGACGAGTCTTCTGGTTTCCTGTACCTGGGTTGTGACCAGGGAAGCAGAATTCACTGTTCTGGTCCCGGTGGTTTGTGCTCTCCTTTATTCAGAAGCAGCTGGATTTATAATGAGGCTCCATAGACAGACAAGCTCTGGTGCCTATCAAGCTCATTGAAACCAGCTCTCTGTAGTCCAAATCCCACACATGCAGATTCCACCATACCGCTTTGGCTCTGTGTAAAGGTAAAGGGACCCCTGACCATTAGGTCCAGTCGCGGACGACTCTGGGGTTGCAGCGCGCATCTCGCTTTATTTGGCCGAGTTAAGCTGGCATACAGCTTCCGGGGTCATGTGGCCAGCTGACTAAGCCACTTCTGGCAACCAGAGCAGCGCACGGAAACGCTGTTTACCTTCCTGCCGGAGCGGTACCTATTTATCTACTTGCACTTTGACGTGCTTTGAACTGCTAGGGGGCAGGAGCAGGGACAGAGCAAACGGAAGCTCACCCCGTCGTGGGGATTTCGAACTGCTGACCTGTCTGATCGGGCAAGCCCTAGGCTCTTGTGGTTTAACCCACAGGGCCACTGCATCCTCTGTGTAGTCTTTGCAAATTTTGCAAAGTTTGCAAAGTTATAAACTATCTAATTACAATAGGTAATGTCCTTTTAATTGTGTTTGTTGGAGGGGGAGTTATCACTTGGTTTCTGTTTGTATTTTTCCGTTGCAAACCACCCTGCGATCTTCAGATGGGCAGTATACAAATTCATAAATAGAACAATAATAATGTCTTTCCTATTTGTTACAATTGCATTGGCTGTTGTCTTCTATCGACACTGATCTTTGTTTTAAAAGGGTGCAGTATATGGTACTTGCAGGCTGGGGCGTGGATTTGATTGCATCCTT